CATCAGGCTCGAACAACTTTCCAACAACGTTTCGATGGGTGCCATTTCTTCTTTAAAAAATATCAACAATTGAGAACTCAGTAATGTTCATTGTCGTTGACTATCGAAAAGCACGGTGAGCCTTACTTGAAGTAAAGATGGCAAACGGCGCAATATTTAAGTGGTCGATTTCTACCTTCCCATAAATACTTAGAACAATTCGCACACTCGTATCGTGGCACTTTTGCAACCGTTGCATTGCTTAGCCTAAAATCAACATTACTGACCTCCAAAACAACAAAGAGAATTAACAAAAAATAATTGAAATTCTCACCTTTCTCGACATGAGCATCTCGTATATCGCTCGTGCACGCATCCTTTTCGTTTTGAAAGATAATAATAATTTACAATTTCTCCCACATAATATTGTCGCATCTAGAAGAGGAGAATGCATACATACACTTTTATAGGATCTTTGTACTCACGAATTTATCCTGAATTGAACCGAAATTTTTTCCTTTTAGATCTCGCAGGACTCGTTCAAATTCTCTTTGTTGTGCTATGTTCAACCTGCAATTGTTCCATGTTCATAGGTCAAAATTCGAAAAGCAAATTTAATGGATGTAGATGTTCTCGATCTATGAAATAGGATCAGACATTGATTATCAACAAAAGCACAAATGGAAAATGGCTATTTCAGCATCGCTTCAAAGTGTTTACTACGAGTCTTGTATGCTTAATAAATAAATATGCAAAATGCTTTATTAAGCAGAATAAAGACATACCCTTCAAAAGGTTGCGGTAAGTTCTTCCATTGTTCCATTTCAATATTTTCCAGCATTTCGTCGATATTGTAATTGTGCTTCATGAAGCAATATAACATCTGCAAAAAGAAGGTTGCAATTACAAGAAAAAAGAATTATCAGAATCGGACCCAAATGAAATGTATAACTAACCGAATCCAATCCAATCTTTCCACCAAACTGAGATCGGATCGCTGACCAGGCTTCATCGAGATCCTCTTCGTTGCACGAACTGCTTCCACTGGGTTCAATGTGCCAAACCTGCAAGGAATTAAGCCAAGAATAAGGACAGATAGCAGAATGTTATATCAATTCCGAAAGCAGTAGGATTAGCACTGACAATAACTAAAACTACTATACCGAGTTGTTGAAGTATTATGACAGTAACTATGGAATGTGATCAGATCTCTGCAATCGAATTCATCTCATGTTAAATATATAACTAAGACACAACTTCAATTAGAACAGAGTCTAGAAGGAAATGATATAGAAATCATATTTCGTTCCTATTTTGTTCTAATTTATTTCAGGTGAAAGCATAAAGAAACC